ATCTACTTTACAGAGAAACTTTCAGTCCCTAAGGAAAAGGGCCTCTTTGAGGTACAAGGTGTGTAAAAAACATTTTATCTATATAATTTTAGGTTAACTTAGATATTTTGCAGTTACCATAGTAAAATACAGCCTTATAGCAAAACATAAGTTTAAAGAGTTTTTTTTTTCTTTTTTTTACAGATTTACTTATTTTAAAGAAAGGGGCAGGGGGAGAAGATCCTCAAGCAGACTCCCTGCTGAGTGTGGAGCCTGACGGGACTCAAGCAGACTCCCTGCTGAGTGTGGAGCCTGACGGGACTCAATCCCAGGACCTTGAGACCATGACCTGTATGGAAATAAAGAGCTGGATGCTCAAATGACAGAGCTGCTGAGGTGCCCCAAGTAAGTTATGTTTATTTAACCAACATTTAGGGACTATTCACTATGAGTCATGGACTGTGGAGGGCAGGGACTAGAAACAATGACTCAAATCCTAATACGGTAGAGCACAGGCATCATAAACTGGGTACTTGAGTTAGATTTTTGCCTCTGCGTTATGTGTGCTGAAGGTAGTGATGGGTGTAAGAGCAGAGAGCAACTATAAATTCCGTGAAAGGAAGAAAATGCAACTGCAAGAACCTTTGGTTTTATTATGGTCATATACAACTGTTAGCCTCCCTTCCGGTTACCAGATGACCCACAGGGAGTCTGATTATAACCTCTGGGTAAGCACTGATTGATTATGGATGAGGAGTAAGGTAACGCTTGAACTACAAATGCTTAAACTCTACTGCTGTGGTATGAGCAGCTGCAACCACCTACATGCCATTTCTAAGACCAAGCATGTAAATGTTTCGTTCACCCGAGTGATGTTTTTCTAATATTATGTTTGTGGCATCTTAAAGCTTTGGGGAGACCTCAAAGTTGATCTGGCATGAATGTCTACTCAAAGGAGAAATGCCCTCTGGAACACTCCTGAAGCCACAGGCTTTGTTTGAATTCTCATTAACAGCAGAATGTATTTGCAGTCACCGATAATTATTAGAAACCACCTCCTCATAATTGAACTAAGACCTCCTTATATTTTCCAAACATTTCTCTGAGCTTTGACTTCTGGAGTAATGCAGCATAATCCTATTCTCTCTCCCTACCCTTAAGGATCTGAAAACAGCCATCATTTTGTATTTCTGAATTTATCTCCAGGCTGTACTTTCCTTTCTTCAGTGTATTCCTCTTGAGAAATATTTTCACAGTCGTCACCTTCCTGTTCCTAGTCTTTCACACACTGTAATACTTGGCCAAAGCCTGCTGAAAATGTGACACCTAGAACAGAACACGATATTCTAGCTCCGAGTATCTAGCACATTTGAGTCCAGAGGAATTCTTTTGATCTGGACACAACCTTCCACCAACACACTCTTCCAAGCTTTCATCCTTTCCTCCTGTTCTCTCCCTAGGTATGCTGTGCTGTGGGCAAAAACATTTGGAATTTGGTCAAATAAAAATGTCGTCTTTTTTTTCTTGAGTACCACTATCAACTCAAGTTCCCCTTTCATTTGCCGTGGCAATGGAATGTGTACAATTTTATCTTAAATTTGCCTCAGCACTGACATAATTGTACATCTTAATACATCATATTTAACCACTGCAGATCTGCTATCTGTAAATTTGATAATACCTTTTATGGAATTTCTTGTGTCTTCATTCAAAGGATTGAAAATTGGCTTCAGTTTAATGTGAATCATTATTCAACTCTCAGGTTGTTTCAATAGCCAGGAATCCACCTGGCTGATTACCCATCTTGGCCACAAAGATTTCAAAAGAGATGTCGAGTACCTTGCTGGATTCAGTGAATATGGTACCTTTAAACCAGTCTAAGCCAAAATGTTTCCCTGATGACAAATCCTAGGGACATTTTATCACTGCCGTGAAATTTTAGGTGAGCTTCCAAGCTCTATGAAATAAGGTGCCAGGTCATGTGAGTAGAAACAAGAGAACCTGTGTCATAGTCACCATTTCCCCTTTTCTGGTACATATACAGTGGACCAGAGGCACTGGATCTATATTTTATTGGGAGAGGTAACTCTGAGGTAAATCCAGCCAAGTAAAAACTCAAAAATCACTCACTAGAGAGGGATATGTGACGGGTTCTGTTCATTACCGCAATTTTCAATATTTTTTTTTCAGATAAAATCTGAAAAGTCTTATTGTGGGTGTGTCAGAAAAGGCTACAATGATCTAGTATTTAGATTTTATAACCTTTACCCTTTGCCTTTGATAGAGTTGGTACTTAGGTGGATCTGTTGCCTGTGTAAATTTCTCCATTAACGACAAATGAAAAAGTAAACTTTGGACATTGACCATTTTTCAAAGAAAATGAAAACATGTATTTTTTTTTTGCTTTTATTCTCACCAAACATTCATAAGAGAAGGCATATTCAATTTCGAGGGTCTATCCAATTTCAGATGTGAGACACATAACTGTAATAATGTTGTGCCGAGGGAAGAAAGAAGCCTTGGTCATTGTATCTATTCAGATGAAATAGGTTTTCTCTTTTAACACTTTTAGGGGCTCAGTTAACCATGCCTAAACCCAATTTGGGGGATTAGTATTTTAATTCAATTCCTTCAGAGCATGAACAATTCTTCCTGTGCATGACAGCAAAGGAAAAAATGAAAAATGGTCATAAACAAACCAGCTGATCCACTGAGGATTACTATACAGATTAATTTATACAAAGGCTAAAGGCAAAATGAGAAAAGTAGAAAGTTAAGTCATTCCTTACTAGTTAAGGAAAGAACAAGTACAAAATCATATCAATTAAAAATTAAAAAAAAATATTTTCTCTATTTTAGTTTCTTACACAATGCAGTTTGTCAATTCTACAGAGCTACAGATAGTTACCTTTCATCCTACTAGCTTCAGAAAAGCAAGATATTCATGTAAATAGCTCAGGTGGTAACTCTTCAAGATAATTTTTAGTTATTCATCTAGGTAACATGCAGCATTCCTACTAAAGGGAAAAAAGTCTATGTTAGGTGGCATAATATCGTGCTTTTCTTTCTTTTCTCTGTAGTAACCCAAAATGGTCCTAAATCTCCTGGATCAACAATCAAGAGAGATTTTATTATATATTGCTCAGTTTACAAATCTGAAGTGTATGTTGGTCAATGACAATTTTTATAGTTTATCCACCATTCAGAATGTTTTAAGAACACTCTATGCTCTGATCTGGAAAAAAAAAAAGAAAAAAAAGAAAAAAAGAAAAAATAGATGAACGGCTATATTCAAAAACACCTAAAAAATACTCCTTAGTTTTGAATTATGCTAAAGAATAAGTATTTGAATTTATTGCTATGCTTTGCTAGATTTTAAATATCAGATGTGGACTTCAGATAAAAAGAACTTCATAGTGCTTTTGCTTTCTTATGCATTTCAGTTTTAACGTTAAAGTATGAAAGAAATGTGAGCTCGTTCTCATGGATAATAATTTAACTTTATTGTCTGCAGCCTTTTTCACACCAAGTATTTGTTTTTCCATGTGAAATAAGATTTAAAATTATAAAGTTATTGTTAAGGAGACACACAGAAAGGCAATAGAAAAAGCTGAAGAGAGTTTTTGTCTGAAACTAGAAAACAGAACAGTCTGGGGGAAAAAGATAAGATATGAGAAAAGTATCAAAGGTTAAAAAAAACTAGTTTTGGGGAGAGAAGGGCCAGGCAATTGTCTCAGAGGGATGGTAAGATTTCATGTGCATGTTTAATATATGTGCTTGGCAATAATAATCTTAGAATTTTCTTCTGTGCCATTAGAGCTCTTAATTTTTCCCACTGTCTATAATTTTATTATGCAACATTATATATATATGTGTGTGTGTGTGTATGTATGTGTGTGTGTGTGTGTTTATGTAGTACAAAATCCATTTGTAATTTTGTACCTCCCAGCAAAGTCATACCTCAGATACGAAATGGAAAACAACTGGAAGACCTATCAGAGTACATTCAAAGTTTGGATTTTTTAATTAAAAAAATTTTTTTTATTATCCTGCTTTGGTTTCCTTATTGAGTAGACTCCTGGGGAAAAGTAAGTACAGTGAGTTTACTGGTCTGCTTGTAGAAGTAGAATTAAGACTCATAGCAAAGAAAGTTAAAAAGATCCAAAGGTTCACTTAAAATAAAAATCACCAGACAAGATAGGCTATGAGGAGCCTCCTCCCTGTGGATGAGTTTTAGCACACACACACTTTGGAGCAGCTATCCGCAGATACTTCTGTCCAGAACCCACTCCTTTTCTGGAGTTTCTGAACTCTTTCTGCCCCACATCAGCTTTAGCTGATTATTATTTATATATGCCGCCATTTGTGATATGTTTACCTGCCACTTTGGATGAGATGGCAGCGAAGGAGGAAAAGTCCCTACTACTTATCAGAACATGAGAAGAGAAACAAATCCCTGGACTTGCTTTAGTGCTCTAATTGGCAAATATGCCAAAAGACTGACCATCTCACATGCTGAGGTGGAAATGAACCTCTAATATAAGATAAAAAATCCTCTAACACAAGATACAAAAGATAATATACATTAGGCCAGTTCAGTTAAAACTCATACTTTTTTTGGTACTCTCTGACAGGACTTTAGAAAAGATATACCCCAATGGCAGAAAGTAATTTAAGTATGGGAGAAAGTTAGAAACCATAATGCCTGAAATACAAAAATAAATGCATTACTGAGGCATATTCCCCTGGTGCTGAGGTATGTGGGCAAAGAGGTCACACTTTACTGTGAGACAGGGGGTCAAAGGTGATGCAGGGCTCTAAGAAAATATTTACCAGAGGAATGTGATGATTCATTTACCAGTCCAGAAATCCTAAGTACAAAACTTTAAGATATAAGAAGGATCAAATTATATAATGTATATGATTCAATTAAAAAATTCTTAGCCCTCTTACATTATCTAGATTACAGTAGTAAAAAATCAAATTACATTCATATGAAACTTTTATAAAAAGAAATCAAATCCATTTTTATGAAATTTTATAGTACAATTATTTTCTAATGGGTATTTTCTTAGGTCATGGTATTTATAATTCCATTTACATCTGCAAAATTTTTCAAATCGAAAAACAAAAGGCAGTCAATAGAAATCTAAACTTTCATTTGCAAAACTCCCTTCAGTTTTCAGGCCAGTGACACATAGTGATGTCAACTTCTCCTCCAGACATGGACTGCTACCAAAGATCCCCAGTTTAAGGAGCATGCAGGCCTCTACTCATTAGGAACGCTTTCTGGTTTGGCTCACGTTTCAAGAAATTCTGGAGCATGTCCATGCCGTCCAGAGATCCCCCAGGTTTCAGGATTAGGTTTCTGTATTTCATTCCAACCTAATAAAATAAAACATCATGCCTCATAATTCATTGTTAAAGCAGTTTTCCAAATCCCTAGATGCAAAAGAGAAAGGGGTAAAGGTGAAGAAAAATGGACTTTACTATGTCTGGATGTTCTCTTTTGCCAAGAATACAGCTCTGTAGTACTTATTTATTTTGGGAGCTATGAGATCTGAAGCTTAAGAACTCTGGTCTTCTACATTCCTCTCTAATAATGTCTTGCCTCCTTAGAGTCTCAACAGTGAGCAAACAGATGAACAAAAAAATAGCCAAATGGAATGATGTATAACTGATTTTTATTGGTTAGCCCATCTCTAATGCTATTTCAAAAGGGTTAGCAAAGCAAGTGTTCAAGAAGGCCAAAAACAGGGGGTCTGTGTACCTGGAAACAGTGGTACCACTTCTGCCAAAATGGCTTCTGTTATGCTTTACACAAAACCCCTCATCTTTATGGATGGCAGTAGGACAACAGCACATGCTCCATGGTATAGGGCAAGATATTTCTGTGGGTCCAGAGGTGGGAATAAGAACTTTGTAAAGTTTTCTTTGGGGATGAGGTCTGGAATTTAAAACACTGCAGTTACTCTGCTTTTATTTAGAAAAATATATGAGCAAATAAATATGTGAGAAAAAAATGTACTTCAGTGTCAGTGTTATTCACTATTTTCACTTCCTTTTCATCATCCTTTTGAGGAAGACAATTCAGTGAAGCCTAATTCTAAATATACATTTAAAATAGTTCACAGAGTAACACTTTGAAATTTATATCCTTTATATCATTGTATCAATATGATTAGTAGTCTTTTTTAAAATTAATTAATCAATTAATCAATTATTTATTTATTTATTTATTTATGACAGTCACACAGAATGAGAGAGAGAGGCAGAGACACAGGCAGAGGGAGAAGCAGGCTCCATGCACCGGGAGCCGACGTGGGATTCGATCCCGGGTCTCCAGGATCGTGCCCTGGGCCAAAGGCAGGCACTAAACCGCTGCGCCACCCAGGGATCCCAGTAGTCTTTTTTTAAAGATTTTTTTTGGGGGAAGGGAGAAGGTGGGGAGAGGGAGAGAGAAAGAGAGAGAGAGAGAAAGAGAGAGAAAGTGTGCACGTGCATGAGCAAGCAGGGGGAGGGGCAAAAGGAGAGAAAGAGAGAGAATCCTCAAGTAGACCATCACTCCCTGGCTTTTTTTTTAAAGTAAAAAACAAAAAACTCTTGGTAAAATTAATTTTAATAAAATATTCTCATCTTAAAAAGATTTTTATATATTTATTTCACAAAGAGAGTGCACAAGAGCATGAGTGAGGCCTGGGGGATGGGGAGGAGCAGAGAGACAGGAAGAAGCAGACTCCCCACTGAGCAGGGAGCCAGACGCAGGGCTCAATCTCAGGACCTAGGGATCATGACCTGAGCCAAAGGCAGCAGCTTAACCTACTGAGCCAACCAGGTGCCCCTTAATAAAATATTTTAACCAGTATATCTACATTTATCTCAACTTCTACAAATATAAAATTGCTGAAGTTTACTTTTTGTTGTAAGTCATCAAAATCTAGTGCTTTTTACTTTTACAGCACAATTCTTCAGTGGCACTAGCCACAGTTTAGTTGCTTGATAGCCACAGGTGGAGAGCATAGACAGGTGGAGAGCCCAGAACACTGAGGATCTTTAGAAGGGCTGGTTGGACGATATTCTAGTCTGACATTGAAAAGGCATGTAGTAATCTCGTTGCTTTATTTAAAAGCTTTGGATAAATTTTCTTTTTTCTTCTTTTTTTTGGATAATTTTTTTAAAAAAGGGCAGGGCCTGTAATCATTGATATTTCAATACCTGAAAACCCTGGTAATGAACGTTTAGAGCTTGATTTAATGTTCTTTAGGGGGAAAAAATGACATGTAATTTCTTACTTGGTCTGCAGCAATTCATGACTGGTACAAGAGCAATCGAGAACCTAAAATGTGAGTGATGGCTATACCTGCCTTGGACTTTATTATTCTAAGAAGTAGCAGTTCAGGGCCCTTGAGCCCAAATACAGTCTCCCTCTCTTCCCTTTATTTCATTGTCCAATGTGCTTACATTCGCCTACAGTGTTAAATCAGTATGGGGACTGGGTGGTATGGGGAAGAAAGATTACGCTTTTTGGGGGTAGCAATATGGGAAGAACGTGGAAAACGTGAATTAAGTTCATCTGCAGAACTGTAAAAATATTTTAATCGTTAATGGAAAAAGATGTAAATATATGCTAATAACTGAGACAACAGTATAATGAAACCCATGTACCCATCATCTGAACTCCATAATTAATATTTACCTGCAGAAATTCTTAATGCTTAGGATCTGAGACTCTTTTACTTATTAAAAAGAAATGTTTCATTCCATAAATATAGGAACGTCATGAAAATCTAGGTAGGGTAAAAAAAAAGAAATCTCCTGCAATGCTGGTACCAAAACAGTCTCATCTGTACAGGGAACTGTGGTTTTAGGTAGCAAAGAAGAGTAGGCCCTTGAGGAACTGCCGGGTACTGGGAAGAGGCAGCTCCGGGCTCCTCTGAACAGTAAAGCCCCCATGGAGCTGGGTACTGTTCCGACTCACGGTACCCGGTTCAGCACAGCTCCAGCCCTGCCCTGCTTACAGTTCCAAACAAGTTGATTCAATTTCCTGAATTACAGAGCAATGGTCTTTTAATAGTTTCATTTCCTTCACAATGAAGTTTGGAGAAGAGTTTAAGAGTCATTTTGGAAATAGGATCTTGCTTTTCTTAAAAAAAAAAAAAAGAAAAAAAAGAAAGAAAGTTAAGTGAATTTTAGTGTTTTTGGAAGGTACCAGCTCTCTGGGTGAGAGAACACGTCTGGGAGACATATGCCACAGGTGGAAGGAGTCTTTGCCCTAAATTGTTCTACTTTGTTTACATAATAAAGAAACTTGAACTGAGAGGAAAGCAGAAAGAAAAGTTCTAAGACAACCATGGAGATTTTTCATGCTGAAAAAAATCCTTCAGGAGGATCAGCACATAGTACGCTGAGCTTCTATTAACTATTCCAGAAGGTAAATCACATTAGTCACCTGTGCGGTTTTTAATCCTGGAAGATTAGAGTGTATCTATTGGCAACTGTGCAAGTCCTCTCTAACAGTGATGTTTTCTAAAGCAAGGTCAGGGTGTTGGGAGTCAGGGCCAAATCTGAATCTTGGCTTCAGCCTCGGCTCTGGGACTGTGGGCCTTGGTTTCCTTTACCTATCAAGTAAGAATATGCCCCCCTCGTTTAGCTGATGGGGAGTTAAGGATGATTTCGGTACATTACCCACTCCCTAGTGTACCACATGGCATCCGGGGGGGCGGGGCACTCAGCAATCCTCAATGGTCGTGCATCCCTCCTCTCATTTCTGCCCCTCTCACACTGCTGCTATGTTCAGTGTCTCACGTACAGAGCAGGAACACAGATGCATTCCGGGTCTGGCATCTCCTTAAAATTCATTCTGTCTCCTAATAAAGCTAAAAAAAAGTACGAGAGACTTCATCTCCATTATTAATAAGAAAGAGACTCTAATTCAGTATGAATATTAAGTCAGAGACAAGGCACTCATTTTATCTAAGAATATGTACCCTTATTTTTCAGAGATTTATTCATCTATTTGAGGGAGAGAGCACAGTAGGGGGTAGGGGCAGAGGGAGAAGGAGAGAAGCAGAACCTCCCTTAGCAGGGAACCCAACCTGGAGCTCGATCCCATGACCCCAGCCGAAATCAAGAGTTGGATGCTCAACCGACTGAGCCCCCTAGGATCCCTTGAGGTAATATTCTAAGAATATAATGACCTGAAGGAAGGGTGCCATCATCTATCAGTAATGAGAATATGTAAATGGTCAACAGCCTGGGTCTCCTGCTATCTCCGGCATCTGTGAGACAGCACATGCTTCTACTGCCTTCCAACCCTCTCCTTCCTGTTGCTATCTCCTTCCTACACTGAGTAACATGCATCAGGGCAAAGGGCATCCACCTGAGCACAGGGGATGATGACCAGGCACCCAACAGGCTCCCTGACCAGCTTTTAAAGTGGACTTTGAAACCTTCCCTTCCACGGCCCATCTGTGAAATCCTTCTCAACAGCACACCCTTTGTTTTCTATGAGGGTGGGGAGATCGTGGGTGGAAAAATAATACCTTGGACAACAACAAAGAAAAAGGAAGAGAGTCAAAGATTGGTGCTGGTAGTCAAGGAGATGGAACAAGAAGAGTGGGTAGGAATCTTCGCTTCATTAGAAGAGGCCTTCTGGAAACCTTAAGCAATGTTTCGGTTTGTGAGGGTAGACAGACAGATCTTTATTTATGGGGAGGGAGAGCAGAGAAAAACAAAACAAAACAAAAAACAACCAGCCTGGGCAGTAGCATGCACTGGGGGAAGGGGAGGCAGACGGGGAGGACCACCACCATAATTAAGTAGAATAGTTTTGAAGCAGATGACACGCAAAAATGAATAAACAGCTCCTTAGGGCCTTATGATCTAGGGGGTGAGATAAAGGAATAGACAATTAACAAAACAGATTATTAGGGTTTAAGGAGAAATGCGAAGAAGGGCTGTTAAGAACACAAAGAGGGAAAAACTGCTTCCAGTTGGTTGGGATTCAAGACTTAGAAGGTCTGGCCTTGTAAATATGCAAGAAGTTGGAAATCAATCCCATTTCCTTCCTTTATCCTTAAATCAGGCAAAATCTAAGTCTGTTTGAAAAGGCTGCAATGTAAGAGAAATCAGCTTTGGGGTGGTGTATCAGGAGAGCTGAAGCAGAATTTAATCTGTTTGTAAGGACCTGCAGGAGAGGAAATTTCATATTCTCCCTTAGCAACACATTATAGAAAGAACTGGGCCTAGACTTCTGATGGAAGAGCACTGGAACACTGAGCTTTATATTACACATTCTCTGTCAGGCAATTCTTTTGCATGTTAACCCCAAATTTGTCAGGTTTCTGTCTGTTATGGCATGTGGAGATCTAGCTCCTTCCTTACGG